TAGATAGATAGATAGATAGATAGATAGATAGATAGATAGATAGATAGATAGATATAATTTTGAGACGGTCTCACTATGTAGCTCAGGCTGACCTCAGTCTTAGTGATCCTCCTGCCTCAGCCTCCCAAGTGCTGGGATTACAGGCATGTGCTAGGATTACAGATCAGCTCAGGGGAGGTTTTAAAAGTTCTGCCAGAAGGAGAGCTCCAAGCTGCCATTGGTGTATGATGACATCATGATAACCAGCATCACCAACCCAGGGGACCCCTATGGCTTTAGACAAGTGATATCACCCCTCTGAGCATGTTTCCTCAAGTAGGGGGATAACTGCACATACCTCATAGGGTTCTGAGAAATAAATGAACACATCAGAACTTGGCTTTGCTGACTGCCGCAGTAGTGAGCCTGTAGTCCCGACTATGCAAGAGGCTGAGCCAGAGGCATGAGCTCAGGAATTCAAGATCAGCTGAGTAACATGGCAAGAAAAAAAAGCAGCAGAAGAAAGCCTGTCATTGTGGTACAACCAAGCACACAGCTCAGTGTTGACGAAGCGCTAGTCACGGTGTTTGGAGGCGAGCATCCTGATTCAAAGTTTGGCCCCACCTCCTAGAGCTGTGGGACCTTGAGAAAGCCATTTCTCTTCTCTGGGCTTCAGGTTCCTCATCCGTAAGTTGGGAATGATCGTAACCCTAAGAGCCCCATCTTCACAGGCTGTTAGAGAATGAAATAAGCCATGGTGCTGAAGTCCTTAGTAAGATGCTTGGACATAATCAGGGGTCGTTAAGTTCTCCTCTCTGGGCCTCAATTTCTTCATCCATAAAATGGGGGTGGTGATCTTATTGTTCTGTGACTGTGTCCTCTGCCTCTTGCTTTGGCATAGTTCCTGGAGTGGGCCCGAGTGTGACCAGACCCTGTGCAGGCCATTGGTCTCCTCCAGCCACTCTGCAAGTCTAACGATCCAGGGGCTGCCTCACCTGGCCAAGTGAGTAGAAAGTGCTTTGAAAAGGGTAAAATGTGACCAAACCACAATGGCCACATTTTTGTGTCTTTTGAGCTGCTACCATGTGCTAGTTCTGAGGATTTAGTCCCTGAGCCTTTGGAAATTGGTGTTATTATTCCCAGTTATAAAAAATTAAGGGCGAGGCTCGGTGTGATTAAATGAGTTCCTCAAGGGGACTCAGTTAAAAAGTGACCAACTGGAATTTGAGTTCAAATAATAAATAACACATAGGTAGGACCATAGCCAGCACTCACCAGGGGAGAAAGAAATACTACCTCTACTTCATTTAAGTTCTCCCAGTGACCCTGCAGGGCAGATACTATCACCTCCTTTCACAGGTAAGAAGTGAGTCTGAGGCAGAGGGCAAGTCTTACTCAGGTGCAGAGCTAGAAGTGGCAGAGCTGGCAGGTCTCAAACCTGCATCTGCCTGAGGCTGTGCCCAAGCCATGTTCCATGGCTTTTTTTCCCCTTCTTTTTTCTCCTGGCATTGGGGATTGAATCCAGGGCCTTTGTACTGAGCTACATCCCCAACCCTTTTATTTTTGGGGATAGGATCTTGCCAAGTTGTCCAGTCTGAGCTCAAACTTGTGATCCTCCTGCCTCAGCCTCGCAGAGTGACAAGCCATGTGTCTGATGGCCATTCATTGCTTCTTGGTTTGGTGGGCATCAACGCCATCCAGCAGCCTCTTGCTGTCAGTCCCAAGTACTCCCTCCTCCTTAGCCTTCCTTTAAGGCTATGGCTGTATGAACAGCTTCCCTACCCCTGCCAAGAGGCTCCTGGAGAAGGCAGCCCTCTGAATCCCCACCTAGCTCCTAAAGAGGGTGCTGCATGTGTTGTTTTCTTGTTTGTTGAAACAGGATCTCCCCACGTTCCCCAAGCTGGTTTCAAACTCCTCAGCTCAAGCGATCCCCCTTCCTCAGCCTCCCAAGTAGCCAAGACTACAGGCACACACCACTGTGTCTGATTTCTGAGTTGAGATCAGGGATTCTCAACTGGGTTTTCCATGGACTTCCAAAGTGGTATGCAGACTTGTGAACAGGTGTGTGCACATTATCAGAATTCCAAAGGTGACAAATGATGGCTCTGGAAGTTTCAATTCTGTGCAATGGGTGAACGCAAGGGACAATCCCAAAGTTCCTGGGTCCTGATCCCTTGCTCTGCTTGGACTTAAGCACCACCCTCCATGAGGGACTCTCAGAGAAGAAAGGCAACAGGCCATGGCCAGTGACAGCCAGACCTCAACCAGACTGCAAAGCTGAATTCATTCCTCTCAGCAATCAAGACAGGACCAGCTTGGGCTCAGTACTGCCAGTGAGGTTCTCCAGCCCCTCTAGGGGGAAGGATGAGCCACAAATCCTTCCAGGCTCTGATTTATGTAGCATTCATGCAGAATTTATTATACAAGGAATTTTATTCAATTAAACTTGAAATGCGTCTGGATTCTTAAAGGTTCAGTAGTGATCGCTGGGACAGAACGATCATAAAACTGGATGGGCTGTCGGAAGGAGTCAGGGAGGAGGCGAGGGTGACATTGCAGCTGATGGGGGATTCAGAGCTGGGGACGTTTGTCATTGGGATGTGTTACAAGTTCGGGCTGTGGAAATTACTCAGTGAAGAATGCACATTAACAATAGCCATGAAATATCAGTTAAGGGAAACTAGGCTGAGAAATGAGACAGCAGGATCTATTAGTGCTTGGCATTGTTCGCTGTGGCCCAGGTCGTGATTAAAACGACTGTCAAGCAGCAGTGGGGAGGGAGTTAAGGAGCGCCATGTCTCAGGCCAGCTCTCTGGACCTCAGTTTCCCCACCTGCAAAACATGGAGAGTGCTTCCCTCCAGGGCTGCTGTGAGGTTTACATGAGACCAATGTGTGGCCCGTGTGGCACAGGGCCTGCCACTGGGAAGGCCCCTCTGCAGCACTGACTGGCAGAAGGATCATCTGCAGTAATGATGCTAAGCACTGCTGCAGGAAGCCCGGAGGACAAGGCACTTTCTTGGGTGTAAACAGTATGGGAGTGGCCAGGTGCAATGTACTTGCCTGGAGCCACCGCTACTTGGGAGGCTAAGGCAGGAGGATTGGAAAGTTCAGTGCCAGCCTGGACAACACAGTTCCCATCTCAGCAAACAAATAAATACGGGAGTGTCAGAAACTTCAGTAATCAAGATAAGGGGTTTACATGCAATGTTTTCAAATGTTGCCAAAAAAGAAAACAAAAGCCTATGAAGAGCAGGTGCCAGGATTTTAAATACACATTGGTTTCACAAGCGTCACTGCATGGAGGAAACCACTGGTTGTGAGGGTTGTGAACGGTGTACAAAGAGACTGGGCAACTCAGGGGTTTAGAGAGTCATGGTTTTTGACGGTAGGGTTTCATCAACTTTTCCCACTTGGATCTGTGTATCTAGGCGGACCCATTCTTCCTTTTGCCTGGGGCTCTATTACGGCTTCAGAAGGGCAAGTGCTTCACACAGCCCAGGCTGTGTCCATGTAGCCTTCTGCGCTTCCCAGGTTGGCGGCACAGACATCTGTCCTGCACCTGGGTTGGCCCTTGGGAGCTGTTTTCTGGCGGAGGCAAAGATGGACCCAGAGGGTGGGTCTGGGAACCTGGATGTCAACACCCAATTCTCCAAGAGGGACAGGCTTTGACAAACTGCCTCATTTCAAAGATCTCTGTAGGATACTGTGTGCACTCAAGAGTGTTTCGCTGTCTTTTTTGGCGTGGCTAGGCGGACAGAGCTGTTGTTTTACTGCACAGTTTCTGTCCTTTCTTGGAAGATCTGGAAATGTGGGCAGAAATGAGCGATTGCTGCAAGCTCCTGGAGGATCTGTGCCCTGGCTGGGTCTGCAGAGACCGTAGTGCAGGGAAGCACCATGAGTGTGTTTCCTGTCACCCATCCCGCCCGTACACACAAAGCATCCTACCCAGTGCCAGGCTTGGGTCTAACTAAGGAAGCCGGAATGGCACTGGGCCTGGCCACCTCCTGGAGGGTACTCCTCACTGCTGGGTACTGGGACCTATCCACCCTGCCCAGGGCTCAACAGGGCTACTGCAGCCTGCCTGCTGCCAAAGAACCCACAAGATAGAATGTACTGGCCTTGCCTGCAAAAATATACACATGGCTGAGAATTTAATGTTTGCCAAGTGCCAGCCAGGAAGACGATGGGGACAGCCAGCCCATCCATGCCTGGCATGGAGCCCCTGCTAGACAGGCACTCAATAAATCAATGATTGCTCAATGGAGTCCACCAGGCATCCCAAGCCCCGATGGTAGAAACAAGCCCGGCCTTCCGAAGCCACTTCCTGCAATTAGCAGCATGATGTCCTTAAGATTCTCAGGGCTACCTCTCTGCTCTTCATAAATATCCCTCTTCCAAGGACACAGCTGGCACTAACAGTGTCATTACATAGCAGGAGGGAGCAGTGGTGACAAGTGGAATAAAGCACAGCTGTGACACAGGTCTCGGAGGCAGAAACCAGCCAGTGCAATGTCAGAGAAGTCTCACTGCTGTCACCTTTCTGGAAGTAGAAGATCTCATTTCCTTAAGCCAGACCTGCTCTACCTCGCACCTGCCACTCGCTCAGACTAGGCGGGAAGGGCCAGCCTTAAACCATGGCGTTACTCTGACCAGGGCCCTGTCCCCGTTAGCGAGAGCTCTCCAAGCCACAGCCCCGCCATACTTGGATCCGAGTTTCTGAGGCCTCGTCTGTCAGTCAGCAGTTGCCCTTCCCCACACTGCAGTGGTGATGGGGAGCTCCAAGGTGACTAAACTTCCAAATCCTGCCTCCCTTCCCTTTATAAATGTGACATTTACAGCCCCTTTGGCACAGGTAAATCACAATTACATTTCCAAGGGCCACTGGTACCATTCCAAATCCTTGAACAACCTTAGTTGGCAGTGGGAGGGCTCACTCATGAGTTTATCTCTCTCTCTCTCTCTCTCTCTCTCTCTCTCACACACACACACACACACACACACACACACACACACACACAGCTCAAGCCCTTCCCATGTTTATTCTTTTTTTTTTTCCATCTGGCTCCTTTACTTCACAGTCATCACTTTACCTTTCTTTTCTGCAATACTAAATTTATTCCCACTTCCTCCAAGACCAAGGGCAGCCTGGGGAGGCGGGGACAAAAGTCTTTAGCGCCCCAGTCCCTCAAGGGAAGTAGCAGGGGGAGTGAGGCAAAGCTGAGTCTGCACCGAGACCCACTTCCAGCCTCTCAGGTGAGCTCTTCAGGAACCCGGACCCCAGAAGGCAAACTTCCCTGCCATGACCACAGAGGGGCCTAGGAAGCTCTCCTTCCATTATCTCCAAGAGCCTCAGGCTCAATGTGATGGGTCATTTTTCTTGTATATTTTTTCTTGATTTCCTTCCTTCATGGCCGCGTATCTGGCTACTGTGAAGAGATAATCACTGAGTCTGGAGGGGCAGAGAGAAGCAGAGGGAAGGGTTTGAAATGAGAGATCACTGCTAGCCAGGTCCTATCTATTGGCTTTCAAGGAGGAAGCATGAAGCCACAGCATCTGCAGGAGCACCACGCAGGGACACGGTGCCCGGCTTTCGTGAGAGCTGAGGGCTGACCCAGCCCTAACTCTCAGAGAAGGAACTTGGGGCCACTCCATGAGCTCATTTCACACCAGGATGGGGGTTTCTAAAACTGCAGAAGCACACGGGTCACCAGGATCTGGGTGACGTGCAGATACTGATGCAGCAGGGCTGGGCCGGGCCTAGATTCTGCAGATCAAATCCCAGCCCAGGCCAGGCTGGTACTCCTGCACCCACACCCATACTTGGAGCAGAGAGGCCCTAGGCAGCATTCTTGACCTTGGTACTGAACACATTCTGGTTCACTGCATTGCAGGGTGCTGAGCAGCACTGCTGGCCTCTATCCACTGCATGCCAGTAGCATTTGGATACCCAGCTGAGACAACCAAAGTGCGTCCAGACACTGCCAGTCCTGGTTGAGAGGCACTGGCCTGGAATGTTCTAGGGCCAGAACCTAGTCCCTGCTTTCTTAGAACCAGTGGTGGTGGGCATCTGGGCAGGAGGCTTTCTGTGGTGAAAGCAGTCGGGAGAACACAGGAGAAGATGCCAGGTCTGGCCCTTCCTGCCAGCTCCTAACCTCTGAGGCCAGCTCCATAGAACCCTCCCTGACCCACAGTCCTCTCCTCCCCAGACGTGGAGCCCTGTACTCTCCCTCTTGGAGACAACAGAGGAGGCTGCTCTGTGCACTGCCTCCTGTGTCATGTGATCCTGGAGGGCAGTGGTGTGTTGGTTTCTTGTTGGCTCCAGAAAACCTGCTGAGGGGAGAAATGGCCCTAGACCACAGCCCCCTGCAGACCATCAGGCTCCCCAGGGATCAGGGCTGCTGCTGCTAAGGGGACGCCCTCCCAAGAGGAAGGGAACTGGTCAGGACTGTCCAAACCCAGGCCGCATCCTCCGTGAGAAGAATCCACAGTCACTTTCAGCACAACCAGGACAGTTCCTGTCCCCTAGCTCTCTGCCTGCCCTGGGGCTCTAGCTGCACCCACACTGGTACCGCACGAGCCAGGCTGCGTGGACATTATCAGGGCAGGCTCTGGACTGAGGCTGACGGGGAGGGGTGGGGTCCCACCTGGGCTGGCCCGGCTCACAGGTCCTGCCTGGGGCCTCTCCGGGAGGGGACGCTGGCCGAGATGGGGCCTCTGAGGGCAGCCCTCGCTACTGTCCTGTTCCTTTGTACTTCGGTATGTTTCTCCCAAGTCCATCTTAACCTCATCAGAGGCAGCAACAGTGTCTCCTCATGGCACACAGCAGACACACAGAGACCCAGGTGGAGAAAGTGGGTGTAGCCCAGCGGTGCTCCCCAGTTCCGCTGCCTGCTGTTCTGCCCCACAGATGTGCCTGCTCTTTCAGAGAGAGACTCTCACATTCCGGGGGGTACCTGTTTAAGAACTTGGCCACATTTGCATCCGTCTCTCCCATCTGGACCAGAGGCACCACACTGAAAAGAGGAAGCACACAGTCACACCACGTGGTGAGGGTCAACACTCGGGCACCTGGGGCCGGGAGCAGCGTTTCCCAATGGGCCACCATTTGACCTCCATCTGGACAAGCCCAGCCAGCACCTGAGATGGAAAATCCAACAGGCCACCCACCCTGTTCCTGGGCATGCAGCCTGCCCAAGGAGGGACGGACAACCGGGAAGAAAGCAGGGGGGCTGCCCTACGTCCCAGCCTGCTGGCCTTTGCCCCGCTGGGACTGGGGCTCTCCCTGGATGGGGTGGAATGGTCAGGCTCCAGCTTTCAAAGATGGAGGAATTTGGCCCTTAATGCACAAGCAAACTCCACTCCTACTTCCCCTCACTCAGGGTCCTGTTATCGGGGTTCCTGTGAGTCCGCAGACCTTTCAGACTGTGTGCGTGAGGGGTCTGGTGAGCGCCTACAACGTGGCAGGGCCTGCTAGGCCCTTCACACACATCATTGCTGCTGCAGCTCCTGTGTCGGGAGGCACCGTCTCCACACCTAGCCCTGGGGTTCTTGGCCTTCTCCAAGGCCACACAGCTGGCTAGTGGCCTAGGCAGGAAGCGATCCTGGCCTACCCCGTGGGCACCTCCAGCCTGCATGGAGCTGTTACCCAGCGGGGCAACTCGCACATCCCACCCCCCCACCCACCCCCGCCCAGCGGTGCGCCTGCTGGTCGTCACTTAGCTGCGGCCTGGCCCTGCCGAGGCCCACTGTCAGTCTGGCTGCCCTCTTTCTTGGGCCTCTGGGTTGTTTCCAACTTTCTGTTATTATGAACACTGCAGACATGGATGGCTTTGTACAAATGACATTTTTGCTTTGAAGCCAAAGTGTTTTCTGTTACTCAGGGATCCTCAGGATCTGTGTGACCTAAGAGCATTTCATGTAAGATAAAACCTTTGTAGAAAGAGTTCAGGGTTTGACCCAGATAAACCTGAGCCCAGATCTGCACTCTGCCATTGAGCCAGGCCACAATGTCTCCTCTCGGAGGCCATTTCACAACTCCTGTGAAATGGGCCTGCCACCACCTCTCCTAGGAGTCCCATGTGGACTCAGTGAGACCGTGAACACGGAGTGCCTGGCACAGCCTGGTTTTTGTAAGGGTGGTATGAATGAATCTTCTGAAGTTCCTCTTGTTAAGTTTTCCCTGAAAAGGCTGCAAGTAGACTGGGTGGGGCATGAGTGTCACTTGTCCTTTCCCTTCTCGATGCTCAACTGGAGCAGGGGTTGGGGCAGCAGGTGGCCGGGCTGTTGACAGCTTCCACCCAGGGCCCCCACAGCCACGCAGCCCCTCCAGCCCCTTCTCCCCTGCAGCTAGGTGCCCCAGGACCCATCACTGGCTTCCTGCTGCTCTATTGCTGTCTCCCCTCTGCAATGTGGGACTCTGAGGACAGGGACTTGTCTGTGCTGGCGGCTCTGGCACAGTGAGGCACCTGAGGAAGCTCTGGGTGGTGCAGGGCTGATCCACCATATGTGCCTGCTAAGACCAAGTTCCCTGTCCCCTTACCGTCTCTCAGCTCGGCGGCACACAGCACGACAGAAGTGTAGTGCAGAGCTGCTCTTGCCTCCCGACTGAAAGGAGAAGGCAGGTGTTGGCTTGGCAGGGCTGGGCAGTTGCCCGCTGCAACAGGATTCCTCAGACATCTAGGTCTGCCTGCTCCCTTGGCCATGTTCTGCTTCCAGGGGCCCTGCTGAGTACACCCACTGGGCAGCTGTGTCCAAAGTGGGCAGGGAGGGGACAGCGAGGACCTGGAGGGGCTGGTGGACAGCTTGTCACTGGTAAAAGTCGTAAGGAGAGGCACTTATTGCAAGCCTATGCGTTTCTGTCCATGCGCTTGGCCGCAGCTACCCCCAGGGTGAGGCAGATACCTACGGGTAGAATGAAGGCTGTGAGAGGCGGGAGTTGCCTGGAATAGTTGTCAATCCATTGCTCCAGCTGCAGGATGGGCCCTGCCTCGAAGGCTGTGCGTTCTGAGGAGTCACAGAGCAGAACTGTGAGGCCTCGCTCACCAGACCATCAAGGAACCCATGTCTCTTCCACCCGGGATCCCACAGATGGCTTCCTCCAGCCCAGAGAGTGCCCGCCCTCCAGGGACGATGGGCAAGGCAGCCAGGCCAGGATGGGCCTCAGGGTCTGGGCTTCTGGTAGGGAACTCCAGGAGAAAGACCCCAGCAGAGCCCTCTGACCACCCACACAGCTCAGGAAATTACTTAAGTGAGCCTCCCTGGCAGAAGAGCGTGGAGTGGCCAGGGCTGAGCCGACGTCCTGCAATGTGCACTGGACCTGGGGAGGCAAGAGACGAGAAGAAAGGCCAACTTGGGGCCGGCCGGGCAGAATGCCTTGGTTCCATGGGCAGAGGTGCCCATGAGCGTCAGGAGCCCCAGTGGAGGTCAGCAGGAACCTTCCGGCTCTGACCCTCAGTGGCCATGCACCTGGGCCCTTATGAGGTTTCCTCCTTTTCTCTGCACTGACAGCTCTCGCTTTCCAGGCACTGAGCCAAGGGACTGAATGTGACAGCTCTACCTTACTGCAAGGCCCATGGCATGTGGAGGGGCTGGGAGCAGAGGGCCCAAGAGGGCTCAGCCTGGGCCAGGCTCATGTGGACATGTAGAGGGAAGCCTTGGGCATACCCCAAAGCACTCTGGGGAGTCGTCTCTGTTTCCTGGGGGCCAGAGGCCCAGCTTCATTGTAAGGGACACAACAGTGACACTAGGAGCATGAACCCTGTGGCTGAGCTCACGGAGGCGGGGCTGC